CCTTCCTTCTTCTCTTCACTTACCTTCTTCCTTCCCCTTCCCATCTCCCTCCCTCCCTTCCATTCTTCCTCCCTTCCTCCTTCCCTTCTCACCTTCCTCCCTCCCCTTCTCCCCTTCCTTCTTCTCTTCACTTACCTTCTTCCTTCCTTCCTTCCTTCCCCTTCCCATCTCCCTCCCTTCCTCCCTTCCTTTATAAACTTCCTTATTCCCAATTTAAGACCCTTTCCCAGAAATTTGCTTGCTCCCTGCCTGCAGAGATTTGGGGGCGAGTTAGACCTCCTTAAATATTGCGACCACTAAACCCATAAAACAAATCACAGGCCAACTCGACAGCCATCTTTGGCTGGGCTACTCAAGACTCAGTCCTATGGAGTTCAATAGCACTGACTCTTGCTTCGATGGGGCTAGAGTTGGGGCCCTTCCAGGTAGTCCTTGACTTAACGACCGTTCGTTTAGCGACTGTTCAAAGTTACAACAGCTCTGAAAAAGGTAACGACGGTGTTTTTCCGCACTTACGACCATTGTCCATTCAGACACTTGGCGACGGGCTCGTATTTACGACGGTCGCAGCGTCCCGTCCAGGGGGGGGTGTCATGTGACCGCCTTTTGCGACCTTCAGTGGGGGAGCCACTCAACCACCAGGTTACTAACAAGTTAACAACTGTGGCAAGAAAAGCCATAAAAATGGGGCGAAACTGGCTTAAGAGCCGCCTGGCTTAGCAAAGGAAATAATAATAATAATGGTAAAGTTGGAAGGGACCTTGGAGGTCATCTAGTCCAACCCCCTGCTCAGGCAGGAAACCCTATACCGTTTCAGACAAACGGTTGTCCAGTCTCTTCTTAAAAACTTCCAGTGTTGGAGCATTCACCGCTTCTAGAGGCAGGTTGTTCCACTGGTTAATTGTTCTCACTGTCAGGAAGTTTCTCCTTAGTTCCAGGTTGCTTCTCTCCTTGGTTAATTTCCATCTGTTGCTTCTTGTCCTGCCTTCAGGCGCTTTGGAGAAGAGCTTGACTCCCTCTTCTTTGGGGCAGCCCCTGAGATACTGGAAGGCTGCTATCATGTCCCCCCTCGTCCTTCTCTTCATTAAACTAGACATACCCAATTCCAGCAGCCTTTCCTTATATGTTTTAGCCTCCAGTCCCCTAATCATCTTTGTTGCTCTTCTCTGCACTCTTTCCAGAGTCTAAAACATCTTTTTTACATCGTGGTGACCAAAACTGGATGCAGGATTCCAAGTGTGGCCTTACCAAGGCCTTGTAAAGTGGTATTAACCCTTCACCTGATCTTGATTCTCTCCCTCTGTTAATGCAGCCTAGCACTGTGTTGGCCTTTTTGGTTGCTGCAGCACACGGCTGGCTCCTATTTAAATGATTGTCCACTAGGACTCCGAGATCCCTCTCGCAGTTACTACTATTGAGCAAGGTACCCCCTATACCACAGGTAGGCAACCTTGGCTCTTTTATGACTCGTGGACTTCAACTCCCAGAATTCCTGAGCCAGCATGGGGGAATTATGGCCCCCTCATGACTGGTGGACTTCAACTCCCAGAATTCCTGAGCCAGCATGGCTCAGCTTGGAAACCTCTCCCTTTCCCCTCAGCATGGCTGGCTCAGGAATTCTGGGAGTTGAAGTCCACGAGTCATAAAAGAGCCAAGGTTGCCTACCCCTGCCCTATACTATACTATGTTGGGCTCCGCGGTGGATGTAAGCCGAGGACTTGCCTGTGCTTGATCTCAGGCTTGATCTCTTTTGCTCCTTGTGCAGGTGCCTTCAACTACCTGAAGGAGAACTTCTCCAACGCCCCCAGCCTCGACATGAGCAGCCCCTCTCTCAACATGCTGGTCTGGCTGATGATCGCCCAGGTGCAGGAGTGCGTCTTTGAGAAGGTCCTGCTACTTGGAGCCCAGAGGGACTTCCTCGCCTGCCTGCAGCTGGCCCAGGAGGCGTCCCGGGTAGGGGATCCCGGCACAAGGGAGCGCCAGGGGGAGCGGAGGCATGGGGGTCCCGCCAGAGGGGAGCCTGCGCAGGGAGGGGGGAGGTCCGCGCTCCGAGCTGGTGGGCTGGTTTCTGAACGTGGCGTTGAACAGGCTAGGAAACCTTCAGCGGAGTTCAGGGGATGTCGTTGTTGGGGTTCTCCTGCTTCTAAGGGCTTCAGGGGTGGGGATTAGGTCTGTGATGGGGAGGTCATGTCAGGTGAGGGTCTTGGGATGGATCACGACAGGTGAGGGTCTTATGGGTCAGGTGTGGGTCACGTCAGATGAGGTTCTTGGGAT